ACGAGACCCTAACGACGACGACCGAACGGTTAGGTTAAACGTTAACCTTTACGGTTTTAGTTTAAAAACGTAAAACAACAACTACTACTTCTACTACTACTCACTACTCTCTCTCTCTCTCTTCTCTCTCTCTCTCTCTCTCTCTCTCTCTCTCTCTATATGTGTGTGTCTGTGTTGGCGGGGGGGAGGGATTTCATATCACATGTCATTATAATATAATGAAACCACACTTCTAGGAAACTATGTTTGTAGTATTTGTATGACCCAAAAAATTGCACACACCATCTCTTTATCCTAATAACCCTATGGTCAAAATGAGCGCCCTCCAACAATGAATCTAGACCATCCATTTGGTGAATTTCAATATCTAGGCATTTACGAACTGAGAAATCATTTTTTTCCTTTTTAACATTGTTCATCAAATGATAGTAAAGCCATCTAAGAATTTGGGAAATAGAAAAAAATTCCTTCTAAGGCTTGATGGCCTGTCTTAATTGAGCTAAAAAAATACTTTCTAAATTGTGTTTTCAATTTTATTTTTTTTAAATTGTTTTAATGAAAAGAGTGTGTATTTAAAAATTAGGTTCAAACAAATGGCATTAACATGGTTTTTGAAGATTTCTCTTGTGAGAATTGTGATCATGGGTTTTCTTCAAATATCTTTTGGAAATTGGCATTTCGTACTTTCATTCTCTTTTCCTTTCCTAGTCTAAGAAGTGTGAGGTTATTAAACTTTTCCTCAACCCATCCCAAGCTCGGGTAAAAGAAGTAGGTTGCGTTAGATAGGCAGCCAGCGTAAAACTTTGCCACATCTTATCATAACCAACCCTAATTAATCGGATAAGGCTTGGATGATGATGATGATGGTTTTTTAAGATTATTTCATTAACATAACTGTTGCATGAAATCACTTACTCCCCTACCCCACCTCCACACACACCTATGGGGAATTTGAATAGTGTTTTTTCCCAAGACGCTCGTAGCGCCATTGCGGTTTTTCAGTATAAACCGCAACGGCTCTACGAGAGCCGTGGCGGCATCCCGTGAATTTGGTGTGGATAAACGAAATGACCACACCAACTCTACTATGTCCGTTGCGGACACAATGGACATAGTAGAGCCAGTGTGGTCTTTGAGTCCACGCTATCTGAAAAAATCTAATGGCGCTGAGCCTATGGGTGAAAATACTGTTCATTTTCGCCTACAGGAATTGCATAGTGGCTTTTATATATATATATATATATATATATACCTTTCCTCATTCTTAACAATTCATTTTTTAATTAGATTTTTTATCATCAGGAGCACCGACTGGATATGACATCCCTCAATCTAAGAAGGTGGAAAGCAACAACTTTGCTGAAGACTGATGAAGCAAATACTTGGCATGCCCTGGAAATTTGAATCATGCCCCGCACGCTCACTCTCTCTCTCTCT